AATGCGTCGTTGATGGATAGTGACAGTGCGAAAAATTACAATAAGCTATGCAAAAAGACTTACGAAAGAATTTACATTCGAATGAAAAAATTTCGAAAAGTAACTCAAGATGAATTGAACATTCCGTTCAGTTTATTTTCTAGTAAATATGGGTTGTGGTCAGTCTCATGCCGCTTCTATTCCAGCGGTTGTCGAGATCAAAAGTGGTAAAATTGGTGGACGATCAGTTCTGATCACTGAAAATCGTTATGTGAACGTATTTATGGGTGTGCCATACGCTAAGCCACCTGTTGGCGATCTTCGTTTCCGGGTTCGCGCTTCTGACTAGTACAATTACTTTAGTTGGAAATGCTGGGGGATCTATTCGCAGTAATCACTCGCTCGTAACTGATAATAAGGGAAATATGATTTATGCTATCGAAAATCTGACATGGATTATGAGAAATCGAATGACTCAATTGATGAATTCTTTGAAATCTCTGATGAATCGATGAATGCAATCAGTGATAAGCATTGTCCAGTTGGATGTGATATGTTATTCGTCTTTTTTTAATGCTTGAAGGAGCCACAAGAAACGGATAAATGGGAGGGTATACGGCGTTGTCTTCGACACTCTCCGAAAGCACCGCAAAAGGAAATGATCGTCGAGCGATTCATTGCCAATCATGTGCCATCCAGTGAAGACTGTCTCTATTTGAATATTTTTGCACCTACCTGGTCACCACCCGAAAAACAGGTATCATCAACGTTTTTCGAAAGCCACCTTTAATTTCTGTTTATCTCGAACTGTCTTCAACGAAGAAATTTGGCAAAAAATATTGATTTAGTAATAGGCAGCAGCACATTCGTGTGATCTCTCAGAAACTGCATTGATCATGGAAATGTGAAATCTGAGTTGTTGCAGGCGAATGGATTTGCTGTTATGGTATTTATTCATGGAGGTGCATTCGCTGTGCATTCATCATCGTTTTACGGTGATATTGGAATATGTCGGTTCGTAAAGTTGCATTCGCATCAAACTTCATTGGCAAATACATTCTCAGCAACAGCTTCGAATTGCTGCTGTTTATGAAACATCTCGAATGAACTAAAGAAAAGGACGTTTGGCATCACAGAAACTAAATTCCCAACTTGAACGCTTCTGCGGTCCAAAAAGTCTGTGCAACTTTACAACCGTTGCAATGTGCCCGATCTTGTCGCCAGAAGCGGGGACAAGTTTTCGAGGCGATAAACGATGATGCGCATTCTTGAAATATGGAACATTTATGAATTTATAGATCTCTGTGCGCAAAAGATATCATTGTGGTAACCGTTCAGTATCGCTTGGGAATTCTCGGTTTTGCGGCAACCGGTGACGACAGTTGTCCAGCCAATCTGGGACTGCGCGATCAAGCGTTCGCTCTCAGGTGGATCAAAGAGCAGATACCGATTTTCAAAGGAGATCCTGACAATATCACTGTGGCTGGTCAGAGTGCCGGAGGTGTTTGCACGGATTTGTTGATGCTTTCGCCATTCTCACGAGGTGACTTATCCGTTCTGCAGTTTTCGTTTTCTGTTCAATTGCGCAATTTTAAGCATGATGATGATTAAATTTGATATTGAGTGTTGACAGAGTTATTGAAGTGTATCAACATTGCGGAACTGTTTTGTTTAGATTTGTTCTCGAAAGCAATCGTAATGAGTGGAAGTGCG